GCTCCTTCGGCAACACACTAGTTGTTAATACTTTGCCTCCACTGGGAGGATTTCTCACCCCTGAGTCGTCGTGAGGCCTGCCCGTATTGGGGCACGGTGTCTAAATTAACTCGGCTCTTCTCGCAGGTTTTATAAGGTACATAGGTTGTTGGGTAGTTAAGCACTTACCATATGTGTCTTCGGGGTTTCCCTTTCTTACCGCTTCTTCTGAATTAAGAGCAAGAATCTAATCTACATCGAGGATCATTAGAAGGACTATTATAACCATTAGGCTTCCTTTTGCTCAATGACTTCCTCCGTAGGGAGCAGAATTGGCACAAGTAACTTCCTCGGTAGAGAGCCCAGCTTTGGGGACTGGACTAGGCTTACAACTCCGAAGGTCTCTATGTCTGGTGGACCCCTCCTGCCCCAAGGCGGGGGTGTCACAGCTTGAGAAGCTAGAGCCTTATGAAATCCAGGAAATGGAGCCTAATTTGGTGGAGGGTCTTTTTGACAAAGATCCCGGGTTTAAGGTTCATTGGGAAAGTACACGGAGCCTTGGTGGCACAGTGGTTAAGAGCTCGGCTGCTAACCAAAAGGTTGGCAGTTCAGATCCACCAGCTGCTCCTTGGAAACCCTATGGGGCAGTTCTGTCCTACAAGGTTGCTGTGAGTTGGAATTGACAGCAACGAGTTGGTTTGGTTTTGAGAAAGTACATTTTGATAAAGATAAGATGAAGGAAACTAGTATTTGATTAAGCACCTGCCATGTGCTAGGCGAATCTTCACTTTCCATTTATTGTCTTTGTTTAAGAACCCTCTGAAGTAGGTATTTCTATCCCTATTCTGCCAATAAAGAACCTGAGGCTTAGACAGATTAAGTAACCTTTCCAAAGCAAGTGGCCAAACTACAGTTTCACCCCATCTGTCTTCAGACCAACGGTCACAGACTAGTGGTCCGTGAGCTAAATATGCTCCACAGACCAGTTTTCTTTGGCCCATACAGAGTTCTGCTTTGTTTTAATAAATTTTTATCAGTTACCGACATTTAAAAGTTGAGATTTCACTTAGAAATCCCCATTTCTAATTTCTTTTGAAAAATTGGAAGATCTAATGACAAAAACTGACCCTTTAGGTAAGGCTGATACACCCCAGGTCACCATTTTCTTATTCGCAGCCCTCCACTCCTTTAGGCATTTGCTCAGAGCAAACTCATTCTACTCCACCAGTGGCTCTCAACCACAGCTGTGCCTCACAGTCACCTGGGAAGACTTAAAAATGCAGTGCTTGTGGAGAAACTGAAACACTGCTACATTGCTGGTGGGACTATAAAGTGGTGCATCCACTGTGGAAGACATTTTGGCAAATCCTGAAAAAGTTTAACATAGAATTGCCATGTGGTTGTTGTTAGTTAAGCCCAGTCAGCTCATGACGACCTGAACATTGCCTGGTCCTGTACCATGTTCATGATCATTGGTATGTTTGAGTCCACTGTTGCCGCTGTTGAGTAGTAACTTCAACCTAGGGGGCCCATTTGCCAGCACTATAGCAGATATTACTCTGTTGTGATCCAGAAGGTTTTCATCAGTTAATTTTCAGAAGTAGATCACCAGGCCTTTCTTCCTAGTTTGTCTTAATCTGCAAGCTTCGCTGAAACCTGTCCACCATGGGTTACCCTGCTGGTGTTTGAAATTCCAGCATCACAGCAACATGCAAGCTGCCAGAGTAGGACAAACTGACATATGGGCGGTGGAGAACTACCATAGACCCAGCAATTTCACTCCTAAGTATACACCCGAAAGAACTGAAAGCAGTGACTCAAACAGACACATGTATACCAATGTTCATTGCAGCATTGTCACAATAGCCAAAGAGCAGAAACAACCTAAGTGCCCACCAGCAGATGAATGGATAAACAAAATGTGGTACAGTCAGCCCTCTGTATCTGCGGTTTCTGCGTCCATTCAACCAACCCAGCATCGAAAATATTCAGAGCAGGGCGGGGCGGAGGGGACAACTTTTTTCTTGTCATTATTCCCTTAACAACACAGTATAGCAACTATTTACATAGTATTTGCATTGTATTAGGTATTATAAGTAATCTAGAGATGATTTCGTGAGTTGGAATCAACTGTCGGCCACCTGTTTTGGGAGGATGTGCATAGTTTATATGCTAATACTATACCATTTTATGTAAGGGACTTGAGCATCCACAGATTTTGGTGTCCACAGGGGATCCTGGAACCAATCCCCCACAGATACTGAGGGATGACTGTATATCCATATAATGGAGTATTTTTCAGCTGTAAAGAGAAATTTTGATACATGCCACCACATGAATGAAATTCGAAAACATTATGGCAAATGAAGTAAGCTAGAAAAAAAAAACCATGTCAAGGCATTTTATTAAAAACATGTTTTATTTAAAAAGCAAGTAACAGCGCTCTCCACCCCCTCAAAGACAAACCAGCAAATAAAGGAATAAACTTCCCCCATGATTCTAATGGGGGAGGGGAGATTGAGAAGCAGCGCTGTGTGTGGTTATGTTTATACGTGTGAGGTGCCCAGTGGTCAGTAAACACGTCTGGAATTCTTGCCTCCTCCCCAGATCCCTCAGTTCCCAAGTCCTGCCAGCTTTTCTTCTGTTTTCTTTGCTGTCCCTGTCCCTTTCTTCTTCATTCCTACCACCCCCACCTTACTTAGTCTAAGTCTTCATCACCTCATGCCTGAAAGTACGAAAAACCAGTTGCCATCGAGTCGACTTTGACTCGTGGCAACCACATGTGTGTCAGAGTAGAACTCTGCTCCGTATGGTTTTTGGTGGTGGAATTTTTGGAAGTAGATCACCAAGCCTTTCTTCTGAGGCACCTCTGGGTGGACTTGAACCTCCAACCTTTTGGTTAGCAGTTGAGCACGTTGACTGTTTGCACCACCCAGGGACTAAAACTACTAGAAGAATTCTTAAATGGTCTCCCTGTCTGCTCCATCCGTCCTCACCACCCTCCCCACCAGATTTACATTAATAAACCACTCAGCATTACTCTCTGCTCAAAACCTTTAACTACATCCCTCTGCCTAGAGCTGCATGAGAATCACCTGGTGTTTGTTTAAAATGCAGATTCCTGGATTGGGATTGGAGCCCAGGAATCACCATTTTAACAAGCTCTCCAGGTATGTAGCTCTTCAGAAGACTGGCAAACACTGGCCTGCAAAATGCAGTCTAGCAGGTCACCTTTCAGCCAAATAATGATTGGCTTATAAAATAAACAGTATCACCAGTGAGTAATGTGCTCCCTTACACAATTAACTATGTGAACCAAATGGTCAACATTTACCCAAAAGCAAAGATGAGAAGACAAGGAGGGGAAGGGAAGCTAGATCAAGGGAAACAGAACAGACAGAATGGAAATAATGAGAATGCTGACACATTGTAAAAATTGTAACCAATGGCATAGAACTATTTGTATAAAAATTGTTAAAGAGGAACCTCATTTGTTGTGTAAACTTTCACGTAAAACACAATAAAATACTATTTGAAAAAAATACAGTCTAGACAGCTTGGATCTGAAACCCCACTTCTTTTCCCCGCTCCCCTTCTTAAAGCCTCTTTCAAGCAAGTTGGACCTCTCACGAGTCTCAACCATGGCTTATATTTTCCCAGTTCTGTGTTTTTGAAGTCACCATTCTGAACCTCTAATATGGCCTCCTGTCTCCTAATTTTGAATATTTTATACAGCTCCCAATGGTTTCTAGATTACCCCAGGCTGTGTTGACCTCTCCTTATGCTGAACCATTCATTTGGCAATTAATTATGTACTGCCTTTTGACCTCTCTCTATCATTGTTTTCCATTATTTATGTTTGGTTTATATCTGACTTTTCAACCAGATTATAAACTCACAGAAGGGAGAGACCTTATCTTAGACTGTTCTGGAGGAGGAAGATCATGGTACTTACAATGTCTTGCATAATAGTTTATACACAGAAAATATTTAACTAATTTCAAGGCGGTCACTTTGTGACTCACTATTTTGGTGAGTTACTGTGACCTGGCAAAATTCGCCACGCAAGACACTCAGAGTTAAAAGCGCTAAATAGCCTGAAATGGAGGATTTTGCTATAATCTGTCAACAATGCCTTTTATGAAGCCATTTATGAATAAAAAGGAATTAGGAATTTTGCTTGCTTTATTTTTTCGAATCTAAAGTAAGAATCGTTCTGTTGTTACTTGAGCTGTAAGCAGCTTCTCCAGTTTTGAAATCACATGACAGTTTCTGCCACTATAAGATAACCAAGCAGCATGACTCAGCTACTTTCTTGCTGAGCAACTGTGGGATATTCTATGCACTAGTTTCATATTAGAGTTGAACCCTTTAGGCATTTCACTGAAGGCTACAGACAAGCCTTGAATTTGGGATATACTGTAATTATAATTCCTCTGACATATGTGGAACAAATTTAGAGTTTGAGGGGGAAAAATGTGTTAAAATACTCTTACTTGTTAGTTGCCATTGAGATGTGACCTTTCGGAAACAGATCCTCAGGCCTGTCTTCCAAGGTACCTCTGGGTGGGTTTGAACCGCTAGTCTTTCAGCTAGTAGTCAAGCGCTTAATGGTTTGCTCCACCCAAAACCTAAACCCTGTTTCTGTCAAGTCAATTCTGACTCATGGTGACCCTATAGGACAGTAGAATTGCCCCCATAGGGTTTCCAAGGAGCAGCTGGTGGATTTGAACTGCCGACTTTTTGATTAGCAGCTGGGCTCTTAACCACTGTGCCACCAGGGCTCTTACTAGAATCAGTTATTTTTATATATGAACCTCTCCCCTGCCCCACCCCCCTTTTTTTCCTTGTGGTCAGGATTTACAGAAAAGATCAGTCTCTATCCAAGTAGTATTTTTCCCTTGAACGGAAGGTGATTGTGGCAGAATCATTGTGTCGCGGAAGAACAGTCAAGCTCTTGGGACATTATGTATGCAACTTGGTGAAATTTATTACCTCTCCAGAGACCATATTTCACATGAGAGGATCTTCATTTTCTCTCTACAGGAGAATCCATATGCTACACTGACAATGTCTTTGGCACAGACTAACTTCTGCAGGAAACATGGATTTGATCCCCAGAGTCCCCTCTGTGCTCACATAATGCTGTCAGGAAGCATTACCAAGGTAAATAGTCACCCTACATGAAGAGAGACTGGTTTTAAAAGGGCATCAGCCTGATAACAATCAAGGCTGAAATCTCTTGAGACTAAAATAAAGTTGGTTTGTGATTGAGTTGCAAAGTTAGAGTATCTTATTATTTGTAAAGTAATTCATGAAAACTGAAGACTTTAATCAGTTGCTTTAATATAGGTATTCAATAAGATACTTGTGAGGAAATGATACTCGTGAAGAGTGTGCTGCTTAGCTCAAGCAGATGCATGAGACTAAATGGGCAGCTTCTGTCCGGAGGTGGGATGGGAAGGCAGAGAGGGTTAGGAGCTGGTTGAATGGACATGGGGAATCAGGAGTGGAAAGGAGGAGTGTGCTGTCACAGTATGGGGAGAGCAATTAGGGTCACATAACAATGTGTGTATAAATTTTTGTATGAGAGACTAACTTGAATTGTAAACTTTCACTTAAAGTACAATAAAATAAAAAATTAAAAAAAAAATCTGAAATGGCTAAAAGGAAAAAGAAAAGATATTTGTGAGGAAGACAGATATTTTCTAAAGCCTAACAGCCGTAACAACTATAAATCTCTGGTTTAAAATTACTCTTGCTAAGGAATATCTGCTCATCCAAAGCCCCAGTATACAGTCTTTCCCATGTCTGGGCTCCTGGTCTCCATATTTTGAAGTGACTCAGAGCAGCGAGGGTATTAAGTAGGCCAGTAATAGAAGTATCTGTTACTACAAACTGGAACTGAATTTAGGCCATCCTGGTGAATGCTGGAGGAAGAGGCTAAGCAGAACCATGAGAAGTGGACACCACGGATGTGATTGCCAAGCCAGCAGATTTGCCTTTGATCTCAGACCAGTTTTATGTATGATCTGGAAATTGTATGTGGATATATGTCTGCAGTTGAGTGTCCTTCACTGGCAGGGAGAAAGGAGGGTGAGCTGGGAATGCTCTTGGGTTCCACTATTCTGCTTCTGAAGATCGTTGTCCTTTGTGTACCCTCATCAAATGCTCAAGCTCTGTGTCTGTAACACATGCATGTTATGGGATAAACATACTAATGATACAGTCATAGACACAAGTAATATTTTATTATAGGACCTTGTGCCAGTTACTCTGATGGCTCAAAATTAATAACAATGAAAATCGGTGCGCATGATGGTTTCCCACTTTATTAATCTGTTTTCACCAACATTTGGAATTTTTATTGCTCTCTGCTTGTCTTCTAGCTTCCTTTAATTTTTCTTTCCCTTGATTCCTTCAGCTTAAAATCAAGATTTACAACTAAATCAACCTCTAAGATTTGTAGAATGCTAGAATTGCACGTTCTTAACAAACGAGAAAACAAAATATCAGTGTGACAAGAATATTTATTTCACATATGTCCTTTAGGTGAATGAGACAGAAATGGACTTTGCAAAGCATTCGTTATTCACTCGACACCCAGAGATGAAGGACTGGCCTTCCGACCATAATTGGTTCTTTGCTAAATTGAATATAACCAACATCTGGGTCCTGGACTACTACGGTGGAGCAAAAACAGTGACACCTGAAGAATATTATAATGTCAAATTTCAGTAGGTATTTACACATCTTTCATCTTTCCAGTAGAGGGCAGTGGTGGTTCAGTGGTAGAATTCTCACCTTCCATGCAGGAGACCTGGGCTGGATTCACAGCCAGTGCACCTCTAAGTGGAGCCACCACTCATCTGTCAGTTGTTAGGTGCCATCGAGTTGTTTCTGACTCGTAGTGACCCTGTGTACAACAGAACAAAACACTGCCCAGTCCTGCGCCATCCTCACGGTCGTCATCATGCTTGAGCCCGTTGTTGCAGCCACCGTGTCAGTCCATCTCATTGAAGGTCGTCTTCTTTTTCGGTGACCCTCTACTTTACCAGACATGATATCCTTCTTCAGGGACTGATCCCTGCTGATAACACTCCCAAAGTATGTGAGACGTAGTCTTGCCATCCTTGCTTCTGAGGAGCATTTTGGCTGTACTTCTCCAAGACACATTGGACATTCTTATGGCAGTCCATGGTATATTCAATATTCTTCACCAGCATCTGTCAGTGGAGGCTTGACTGTTGCTGTAATGCTGAGCAGGTTTCAGCAGAGCTTCCAGACTAAGACTAGGAAGAAAGATCTGGCAATCTACTTCTGAAAATCAGCCCATGAAAATCCTATGGATCACAAAGGTCTGATCCTGTTGTCCATGGGGTCACTGTGGGTCAGGGGCCAACTCACCAGCAGCTAACAACAACAAAACCTTTCTAATAATGCATCCTCATCAATGGCCCTCAGCTCTCTGAGGCAAGAGGGTCTTAACCTTTTCATGTGTCAGGGACCCCTGGGCAGGCTGGAAAAGCCTATGACCCTTCTTATGATAGTATTTTTCAATGTATAAATCACATAGGATTACAAAGGACACTAACTCCATTGAAATACATTTATAAAAATACATTTTTTTGTTGTGCAATAATAATAAGACCTGGCCATGAGTCTATAACTTTCAAAGTAGTAAAGACTATAAACAGTGTTTTAAGACATCTACAATAACTGTAATCTTATATGAAAGTAAACAATTTTTTTTTGTAAGGATCAGCATAAAGCTGGTTCCTATGAGGCAGAAGTTAAAGATGTCCTAAATGCCCAACTTTTCCAAACTGCTGTAGCACTCCGTCATCTCTAACTCAACCACTTCCACTCCCCTCAGTACGCTTCCTCCTGTCTTGGGGTTCCCTAATTTGCTGCAACGTCTCATAGAACTCAGAACTGTATAAAGGAAATGGCACACGTGGTTGTGGAGGCTAGCAAGTCCCAAATTTGTAGGTCAGGCGGGGGCTTCTCGCTGGCCCTCAGTTTCTGCCCAAAGGCACTAAGCTTTCTCGCTCCGTGGGCCAGGAAGCTCACTGTGCCGCCATCTCCTGCTGGTCTCTCCTTCCTTGGTGGTGGTGGGCTCTCTGTCTGCTCTGGAATTGGCTCTTTTATGGTAAAACTGACCACTCCCCTTGGTGGGCCACAATCATCTTATTTGCACAGCCCTACCCAGTCACCTGGGTGGGAGTTATAAGACCATAGCGAGAAAGGCCATACTAAATAATTCATCACACGCAGAAAATATCTGCGATTTCTGTATTCTGTTGGTAAGTCATATATATATATGAACACCACTGTGGTTTACTGCTTATATTCATCATTGAACGAAATGATAAATTTCAGTTAGACCTGATGATCTTCTTCCATAAAGATTACAGCCAAGGAAACCCTATGGGGCAGTTCTACTCTGTCACATGGGGTTTGTGTGAGTCGGAATCAACTCAATGGCACCAACTGGAACACCACCAACCAGTTCCTCGGACAGGGAGCTGGCTGGGCTTTAAAAAAAACAGAACAAAAAAAAACCAAACCCGTTGCCATCTAGTCAGTTCCGATTCATAGTGACCTTTAATCCTGTATAATTTATAATACACTTTCTACTTGTAATGACTGGCTGCTGATGCTTGGGGAGATTAGGGTAAAGATCCTAAACTATGCTTATAGGTTGTAGCTCAGTGTTTGACTTAAATTCTTAGCATTTATATATTCTGTGTTTTATTCTGAACTACTGACTCTCCACCACGATTGTGAATTTTGTGACAGCAAAGATCAGGTTTTATTATTATTATTTTTATCCCAGTAGGAGCCCTGGTGGCACAGTGGTGAAGCACTTGGCTGCTAACCGAAAGTTCGGTGGTTCAAACTCATCAGCTGTTCTGCAAGAGAAAGATGAGGCAGTCTGCTTCTGTAAAGATTTACAGCCTTGGAAACCCTATGGGGCAGCTCTACTCTGTCCTGTAGGGTCGCTATGAGTCGGAATTGCCTCAAAGGCAATGGATTTGGTTTGGGTTTTTGGTATTTTTATCCCAAATAAGGCCAAAGACAGTGTGTGGCTCAGAGCAGGCTTGTTTAGTAAGACTGGCTGATTGTTGGGCTGATTATTTAAATAGGACAAAGACTCTCAGACTCTTTTCTTTGAATAAAGAATCGAACATCAGAGTGTTTATTTGCTGTAGGTAGGGCTTCAAACCAGTTGGGTCCTATTCAGCCCCCTGCTGAGAATTTGCATTTCTAACAAGTTTCCTAGGTGATCCTTATGTATAACTTCCTGGGAACCTGTTAGAAATGCAAATTCTCCACAGGGGGTTGAACCTGATGATGAACCGGTTGGAAGCCCTGGCTGCTGAGCACACAGGAGAAGAGGGACTGGCTGGTGGTCCTCATCAGGGCTGACAGAGCCATCTCACCTTATGGGAGCGTAGAGGCCACAGTCACAACATTGTTACCTGGGTGACAAAGCTCTTGGAGGTTGAGGTTACTTTCACAGGACGTAATCTCTGAAGCACAGCTATCTTTGTGTAAATAACATGCTCAAAGGCAGTGTTTGCTTTAATAACAAGTTAAATTATGTGTTATCACACAATTCTCCACCCTGAATAAGTAAGTAAAATAGACACTTTTGAGGATATTCTCAGTTCCGCCTTATCATGCAGAGGATGAGTGCCTTTTGCAGCTCTGAGGTAAGAGGGAATAGTATCTCCTTGTCCTTCTGAGAGGTGGGCCCTAGGCTGGACCAGGGTGTGACCCCGTCTAGAGTCATAGGAATGGGTCATGCCTTAAAACTGGCCAGTGTGGTCAGGTACCTCTGACTATCAGTTGTCCATCTCAGAGACTGGAAGTGAGACCACCCTACCCCCCACCCCAATCCCACCCATCCACCCAGTTTGCTACCAGAACTGTTTAATAGTCACAGGAGCATAGAGTAATCTCTTAATATCTGTGAGGGCTGAGGGCCTCACCTTCTGGGACAAACACTCACACGGGCCTCCCGGGCATTCTGGAACATCCCCAAATTGGCAACCACCTTGCTTGGCTTACCGAGACAAGTTTTGAAAGATATTATTTCTTCAAATACCATAAAGTCCCCTGCATCTGAATTCTGTTTCACTCAGATGGAGTCTTTTTGGGAAGCATCAAGGCAAGGGCCACTTTTTCGGGCTAATTACAGGTTATCCCTGACTTACGACGGGGTTCCATTCCAATGACTCCATTGTAAGTTGGTTGTGATGTAAGTCGGATACCTCATTTTTTTGTTTTTTAGTTTTCATTATTATTGCCTTTTATTATCAGTATTTTTATAAATCTGATCTTTGTCTTTGGGCATTGGCATGAGAATAATATCAGCGAATTATGTCCTGCAACACTGTATGTAGTGTACATTACTAACAATAAAACCAAAAAACCAAACCCACTGCTGTCGAGTCAATCCCAACTCATAGTGACCCCATAGGCTGTAAATCTCTGCAGAAGCAGACTGCCACATCTTTCTCCTGCGAAGTAGCTGGTGGTTTTGAACCGCTGACCTTTCAGTTAGCAGTCCAGCTCTTCAACCACTGCGCCACCAGGGCTCCTTATTACTAACAATATGATGTACCAAAAAGCAAAAAAAAAAGAAAAGCACATACAAACGTCTTTTTGTTGCCTTTTATTTATTTACTTTATTACTAACAATAAGATGTACCACAAAAAACAAAAGGAATAGTTTTAAGTGCTTTTTGTCATAACTCGAGTACGTTGTAAGTTGGGGACTGCTTGTACTGTTATTTGCCCTCGTATTTGACACAGGACGGGTCAACGTTTTGTTCTGTTATATATGAGGTTGCCGTGAGTCAGAGCCGACTCAGCTGCAGCCCACAGCAACTAGCCCTCGTGCTCATGGCCCCTTCTGCTCTCAACTGTGATTGTCTCTTAAACCTTCATATGTTCTTCTTGAACGCGATAACCACAGCAGCCACAGGCATGGCCTGATGGATGCTCTGTCCGAGCAGGATTTACTGAAGTGGGATGTCCTGGGTCACCTCTGTCCGAATCATATTGGAGGGGAAGGATGCTTGTTAAAATGCAGATTCCTGGGCCCCACTCTAAACCCATTGAAACCAGGGCTCAGAAATCTGCATTTTAACAAACTCAGGTGATTCTTTAGTACGCTGTTATTGTGTACTGCCAAGTCAAGTCTGACTCACAGTGACCCCATGTGACAGAGTAGAACTGCCCCATGGGGTCTTCTAGGCTGTAATCTTTACGAGAGCAGATTGCCGGGTCTTTCTCTTGCAGAGCCACTGGGTGGGTTAAACCACCAGCCTTACAGTTAACAGCTGAGCTCTTAAGCATTGCACTACCAGGGCTCCTCACTACACTAAAATGACTGAAATTAACTCAACATCGTAAACTTTTAGGTCAGATGTTTCTGTATTCCTTCCCTGGAATAAAGTTAACTTTTAAGCTTGGTCATCTGAGTTTAATGATGTAATTCTTCCCTTCTCCCCTTTCTAGGTGAAGCAGAATGTGGCAAATGTAACCACACGGTGAAGCTTCTTAGGATGGTTCATACAGATGTAAAGGGCTTCATGTTTCACTGTGGGGTTTCCCCGAAGATTAGCCTGTTTTCCTTCACACGCTGGTTTGCTTGCTTGCTTGTTTACAGATTAGAGTTGGACTACTTCTGGATTTCTTGGGAGGATGTGGTTGTCAGGTTTCTTTGTTCTATTTTTCATGTTTTGAAGCCATTTTTATAGAGAAATGTCTTTCATTAAGATCAAAGAAGCTTTGTTCCATCACTTCCAAATATTTTCCCAACACTACTCCTTAAAGAGGAGCAAGTATCAGATTTAGAGTGCCCATTGGCATTCAAAGGTACTTGTTCTTTATTCCTGGAAGCTGCTTGGCTCCAGGAGAGGGCCTGAGCCTGGTGCAGAGCGGTTGGCCCCATTGCAGTGTGCTTGAATAAATCTTGCCAGAACAAACAAACATCAATGAAACGTAAGTGGTACTTCCTACTCTTGGTTAACTTACGTCCGACGATCCTGGGTATTGTCAATTCAACACAGCAAAGCTATTTTTCATCAATAAAGTTTTTTTTTAATTAAAGTGATAATTACCTAGAAAAAAAGGAAGTTCAGAAACTTTTCCTGAATTTGATTTTCCCACCTTTTTTTTTTTTCTCTTTTAAACTATGTAATCATTCTCCTCCCTCAGCACACCACACACACACACAGGCTCTCTCCCTCTCTAATTTTTTAGCCCCAAATTAAGATTGCAAAAGAAAGAGAAGGCAGGGGATTTTGTGCATTAGTCTGGTCTTCTCGTATAGGTAGAATTAACCCAGACACGGAACGGCTTCAGCCAGGGTCAGAATCTCTCTCTCCTAACCACTCGGTAGCTTTCTTAATTGTGCTACTCTCAGCAATGACCTAAGGCTTCCTCAGCTGCTGTAACTCTCTAAATGGTTCCTAATGCTACTACTCATTAACTCAGGTCATCAGAGGGAAGAGAACTTGGCGTTAAAAAAAAATCGCATTTCTTCAGAAACGAAGCGATTTGGTTTTATTATGTATAGACATGATTTCAGGAGACAATACAAGGTGTGTCAGGAGGGATCAAGCCACTGAGTTCTTCAATGGTTAAGAGAAAGGAAGTTGAATGTAAGTCATTATGTGGGAAAACTATAAAACACAGTTAACTGAAATCCAGCCAAGAGCCTCTGTTTAAGAAAAAAATGGTTTCTATTACATTTAGTAAAATGGGTTTCTTATTCAAAGCATCAGTGATTAAAGACATTATTTTCATGAAATGTGTTGGGTTCATTTTCTTAAACATAGATCTTAATCTTCATTACATTCTGTCTACTGTCAAAACCTTTCTTTTCTGCTTTTATTTTAGCATGCTCTGAAGAAGACAGCCACTGGCTGTTTAAAATTTTGAAACGAATAGTACCGTTAGCATTACCATTTCCATTAGCAAAAAGCCCATCACGTCCTACAGTTTTGAGGATGGCCGCACCCAGCGTGATCACCTGCCCAGCCTCCGGGCCGCTAATGCTGAGGTCTCTGTGGTCGCAGCAGGTTGAACCATCTGTTTTGTTTTTCTTTTTCCCCTTTTCCCACTTATTGCGAGTTTTGTTTTTTAGCCTTTAATGCTACATAAAAACACATCTACATTCAGGTAGGATCCAGTTGTCATACAGAGTAACGCAAAAACCACACCCATTGCTGTCAAGCCGATTCCAACCCATAGCAACCCTACAGGACAGAGTCGAACTGCCCCACAGGGTTTCCAAGGAATGGCTAGTGGGTTCGAACTGCCGACCTTTTGGTTAGCAGCTGAGCTCTTAACCACTGCACCACCGGGGCTCCCATACAGAGTAAAGTTAAACATTTTCACAGCCAGTTCTGCAGAATCCTTTATAATTGTATGTGCAGAGTATGTCGCTGTTATATCTTGGTTGGCCACCAGAGAGCACTGTAGACTACTTTTTATGCAGGTGCCTCTGTCCTGTACAGCTGAGCTAATCAAACTCCCTAAAACAACAGGGTGGGCCAGGTTGGGGGTGGATGGATGGCCTACAAGAAGTGACATTGGGATAAAGGTAGCCCAGAAAGGGCAAGAGGAGAAGCAGAGGCATGGTTTCATGCTGTTGTTGATGGGCTTTCATGGATTTATACACCTCATGCTTACTGTTTCCCGTCTGGCTTCTGCTCCCCCCACATCCCACCTATTGCAGAAAAGGGACAGAGCTCTGGCCTTACAGAGATGGGATGATTGTCTTAAAATGGGGCTGGGTTTGGCCCAGAGAGCAAGGCAACAGTCCCTGGTCAAGAAAAGATAAAAGAGGTAGGGTGTGGCTGTGGAGTCTGAAGCTACAGAGACCCAGATGGCTCTTTGGCCCTGAATCTGTGCTCAGCTGGTCAAGACCGTTCATCTTGACCAAAGCGTGGCCAAGACTCAGACTTTATTCTGCCTTCTGGTCTCAGTTCAGATTCTTTGCAGGTATGTAGTAGAGTGAGGAAAAATCCTTTATGAAATGAGACAGGTTCAGTGAAATTAAATGCATACATATCCTGACTGGAGGTTCTTATGTCGTGTTCCCTTCCTGGTGGTAATCAGACTAAAGATCACAAAGTAATTGCAGCCTAGGCTATACTTTCTGGGACATGATTTTTCAGTTCTGGTGCTAAGAAATTTAATGCTCTACTTTGTGTAAGGCAAGTCGGTCAGTATTTTTTTAGGGGAATTGCAAACTCACTTCAAAACCAGGTATTCGTGGAGGAGACGGTTATAGCGTAAGTCCTTTTTGGAATTAAGGAAGGTGTCAATGAGTAAAACTTTAATCTTTTTCTTATTTTTTTCCTTCGTCAGGCTAATTTTTTTTCCTTATTGTCAGACTAATATTTCTGCAGAAAATATGGAAAATAAAGTGTTAAAAATGTGTAACCTCACCAGCCAGCATGGCTGCTAATATTTTTGTGTATTTTCACCCATGAAATTTTTAAACATAATGAGGTCGTACTGTATATTGATTGTGTATCCTAATTTTCACTTTTTCATAAGCTTGTTGCATGACTGCAGAGTATTTTATTAGCTGGTTATACCCAGGCTACCAAATAATGTCTGTATTAGGACTCTTTGTTGCTAGTGATGGACACCCAACTCAAGGTGGTAGCTGTTGTTGGGTGCCATTAGTCGATTCCAACTCATAGTGACCCCATGTGACAAAGTAGAACTGCCCCATAGGGTTTTCTTGACTGTAGTCTATGGGAGCAGATCACTAGGTCTTTCTCCCATGGAGCTGCTGGATGGGTTCAAACTGCCAACCTTTCAGTTAGCAGTGGAGCGCCTAACTGGTTGTGCCACCAGTCCTCCTCAACTCAACGTAGTTTAAGCAAAAAGAGTTTATTCATCTCAAATTTTTCCTTTAGAGTTTGGTCTTCATTTCCTGTTATTTCCTGGCTCCTCTTTCCCTGGTGTTGGTTGTGATATTTAGTCCTTGCAGCTGGCAGCCTCCCCACAAAGAGGGTACGTCATTCTCAGGAACAAGCTGGAGTCCCAAGGCTGGCTGTGTGAGGCCAGCAGGGTCCTAGCCATTCCTGAGTCATCACTGTGACAGGGGGACGGGGTGCTTTTGTTGGCCAGGACTGGGCCATTTGCCCTTCCCTGGAGTTGGGGGTTCAATTCAGCACCATCAGAACTACAGGGACTGAGAGGATTTTGAAGAGGGGGCTTCTGAAAGGAAAAGCGGTTATGTTAACTGAAGGGATACTGGGCTGGAAAAACCAAGAGCTGTTACCACTTTCCCCTGTTTTTGAACATTGAGGTTAATTTTTAACATTCCAGATTTTCCCTGTTACAAGAGAAAATCTTTGTACATAAAGTATTTCCTGCATTTCTGGTAGAGACATTCTCAGTAGCAGAATTCCCAAGCCAAATTTGGTGGTGGTGGTTAGGTACTGTCAAGTCTGTTCCGACTCCTAGCAACCCTGTGTACAACAAAACGAAACACTGCCCGGTCCTGTGCCATCCTGACAGTCATTGTTATGCTTCACACATGGTACCAAATTGCTTAGTTGAACCCACCAGCCACTCTGCAGGAGAAAGATGTGGCCTGCTTCCGTAAAGATGACAGCCTTGGAAACCCTTTGGGACAGTCTCTGTCCTGTAGGGTTGTTATCAGTTGGAATCGACTCAACGGCATCTTTTTTTTTTTCTTTTTTACCAAATTGCTTTTAGGAAGTGACACCAGTGAAGAGTTCTGCAAGCAGTGTGTGAAAGTGCTCATCCAGTGCATGGAATTTGATGGGTTAAAAATAGTATTGTGTTATTTTAATTAATAATTCTTGTGTTACTGGTGACTTTGAACATTAAAAAAAAAAAAAAGATGATTTTTCCTCTTGTGAACTGTCAGTTTATGTCCTTTGCCCGTTTATCCTTTGGGAATCAATTTAAAAAAAAAATTGGTCTTGTTGAGTTCTCTATTAAGTTCATAAACTCAGGTATTTATTCAGTTTGTTGTTTAGATCACCCAGTTTGTGGGTTTTTTTTTTAATTATTGTTTTACAACCTACGAAAGTTTTCAAATTTAACATAATATAATATTTTATTTTGATGTCTTAAATTTCCTTTAAACTTAGTTCTTTTTCTTTGAGAAATTTGAGAAAAATAAATTCTGATTTTCCTCCATTTTTTATGGTTTAATTTTTTACACCTAACTCTCTGATCCATTCAGAATGCATTTTGTATACAGTGTTCATCACTTGCTTATTGACAAACCCAAATTATACGCACCTCTTTTAACCTAGATGTGAACCCAAATCCAAGCACAACTTCCTCACCAGTGGGGTCAGAAGTTGAGTCAGCTCCATGTGCTTAGCAGGCATTTGGCCAATCTGCTGTTCTCTCTACCCCAGAGATACTCTGACCCTTCACTTGGGCTCCAGGGACTGGGACTGGCAAAGAATCGTGGCTCTGATGATGCTCTCATAACTCTGGAAGTTGTATAATGACTGCTAAACTGCGTGCACACTCCTTAGCTAGGATCTCAAGTTCTACCACAATGGAACCTTAGCTGACTTTCTCAACACTATCTGCCCTTCCCCAAAGTGTATCCTACACTGCAGCCAATCTTGGCTGGTTATTTCCCAAGCTATTCCTGTTGCTTTTCTGCTCTTGCACATGTCCTTCAGCCAGGCATCGCCACACCCCTCCACCCCGTCACCAGTCACTCTATAGAGTATGTCCTCCTGAGGGCAGAGTCTGTGATGGCCTGATATATCCCTGCAGCCCCCCATACCAAGCGTCACCCCTCCATTACGTGTAATAGCCCTTCAGTAAAAGTTTAACAAATGTTTTGCTTGTAGACCTATTTTAAAATTTAATGAATACAGTGAGAAATGGAGGTTGAAACTCCAACTTGCCATGTGACTTAGAATCAGGTAACCTACTCTGGTGAAGGTCCATTTAAACGCAAGCTTGGCAATTGCAGTGGCTTTGCTGGGCACTCAGACTGCACAGCAGAGGAACAAAATCCCACGTTACAGGCTTGGATGGAGGTGTCTGATTGGTGGGCATTCTGAGTAACTCCCACAGATGATCCACAAAGGGGCGAAGGATTTTAAAGTTAGTTAATTATCATTGATTTGTAAGATTGTGGGGACTGCGTCTATAACTTTTTCTTCCCAGAACCAGGTGCATTGACGGTGTTCAAAGACATTTGATGAGTGAGGACGGAGCAGCTTAACCAGGGCACAGTCTCCTTCCTTCACAGCTACTCTGAAAAAGGGAATTTAGCACCCTATACCCAGGTCGGGAATCAGCACACATACTCCTCTTGGGTTGTCTAGAACTGTCTGTCACTGGTCTGTGTCCCTTGGTTTTATCTTGTTTGGAAGAAAATGAATGATCGGGACCAGTCCTCTTGGTTCATCCCAAACCTTTCCCCCTTTGTCAACTCCCAGGCCCACCCATGTAGAGGGCTCATCCTTAATGAGTCCCGGCCAGTTCTTGCCCTGGACTGTGTCTTCCAGGCATGATGGCACAGGCTGTGTCCTACACAAAGGTGCCCGGCTGAAGACTGAAGATCACAGGGGGAAGTAGGGGACAGTATGCAGCCCCAGATCATGTCCTGCCCTGGGGTGGGCAGCGTCGCCTCCACTGCTTCTTGTGTTAGATCTCACAAAGGCTCTTATGGGCTGGCTGCAGCCTGGCTGTTGGAACCTGTCTACATTTCTTAGTGCTGCTCTAACAGGAATACCACCAGTGCGAGGCTTTAAAGAATCTTAAAGAAAATATATTTTCTTACAGTTTAAGAGGCTAGAAGTCCAAATCAGGGCACCTGCTCTAGGGGAAGTCTTTCTCTCTCTGTCGGCTCTGGGAGAAGGCCCTTGTCTGTTTTCAGCTTCTGTTCCTCAGTTCCTTCGTGATTTTCCTGAGGTGTGTATCTTCCCCTCTGTTTGTGCTTGCTTCTGTGCCTAGTCTGCTCTTTTTATATCTCAAAAGTGATTGGTTTAAGACACCACTACACTGATAAGGTCTCATTAACATAACAAAGAAAACTCCATTCCCTGACGGGATTACATTCACAGGTATAAAAAAAAAAAAAATTATGATCGAGTTGATTCCGATTCATACCGACCCTATAGGACAGAGTAGAACTGCCCCATAGGGTTCCCAAGGCTGTAAATCTTTACGGAAGTAGACTGCCACATCTTTCTTCCGCAGAGTGACTAGTGGGTTCAAATCACAGATCTTTCAGTTAGCAGCCGAGCACTTAGCCTCCGCACCACCAGGGCTCCTATTCACAGGTGTAGGGGAGTAGGTTTACAACACATATTTTTGGGGACCACCACTTGTCTGTCAGTTTGTCCTACTGTGGTGGCTTCTGTGTTGCTATGATACTGGAAGCTATGCCACTGATATTTCAAATAACCAGCAAAGTCACCCAAGGTAGACAGACTAGAGCTTCCAGACTAAGAAAGACCAGGAAGAAGGACCTGGCAATCTACCTCTAAAAAACCTTACCCAGTGAAAACCTTATAAATACCAGTGGAGCACTATCTGATATAGTGCTGAAAGATGAGCCCCTCAGGTTGGAAGGCACTGAAAATACAACCAGGGAAGAGTTGCCTCCTCAAAGTAGAGTTCACCTTAATGTCGTGGATGAAGTCAAGCTTTCAGGACCTTCATTTGCTTATATGGCACAACTCAAAGTGAGAAGAAACAACTGAAACATCCATTAGTAATCGAAATGTGGAATGTAGGAAGTATGAATCAAGGGAAATTGGAAGTGGTCAAAAGTGAAATGAAATGCTTAAAGATCAATATCCTAGGCATTAGAAAAAAACCCAAACCCATTGCTGTCAAGTCGATTCCAACTCACAGCAACCCTATAGGACAGGATGGAACTGCCCCATAGAGTTTCCAAGGAGCACCTGGTGGATTCAAACTACCAACCTTTTGGTCAGGGTTTCCTCCTAGGCATTGGGTGAGCTGAAATGAACGGGTATTGGCCATTTTAAATTGGACAATCATATCGTCTACTATGTTGGAATGACAAATTAAAGAGGAATGGCATCACATTCATTTCCCGCCCCCCCCCAAAAAAATTTCAAGATCTGTCCTGAAGTGCAATGCTGTCAGTGATAATATCCATATGCCTATAAGGAAGGCCAGTTAATATGACTATTATTCAAATTTACGCACGAACTGCAATGCCAAGAATGAAATGGAAGATTTTTATCAATTTCTGCAGTTTGAAATTGATCAAACATGCAGTCAAGATGCATTGATAATTACTGGTGATTGGAATGCAAACATTGGAAACAAAAAAGAAGGGTCAGTAGTTGGTGATAGAAATGACACCAGAGATTGCATGATAAAATTTTGCAAGGCCAATGACCTATTCTTTGGAAATACCTTTTTTCAACAACATAGATGGCAACTATACACATGGACCTCACCAGATGGAATACACAGCAATCAGATCAACTACATCGGTGGAAAGAGACGATGGAAAATCTCAATAACATCAGTCGGAACAAGGCCAGGGGCCGATTGTGGAACAGAACATCAATTGCTCATATACAAGTTCAAGTTGAAGCTGAACAAAATTAAAACAAGTCCTTGAGAGCCAAAGTACAACCTTGAGTATATCCCACCTGAATTTAGAAATCATCTCAAGATTAGATTTGACACATTGAACACTCATGACTGAAGACCAGATGAGTTGTGGAATGACATCAAGGATAGCATACATGAAGAAAGCAAGAGGTCATTGAAAAGACAGGAAAGAAAGAAAAGACCAAAATGGATGTCAGAAGAGACTCTGAAATTTGCTCTTGAACGTTGAGTAGCTAAAGCAAACAGAAGAAATGATGATGTAAAAGGTCTGAACGGAAGATTTCAAAGGGCGGCTTGAGAAGACAAAGTAAAGTATTATAATGAAATATGCAAAGACCTGGAGTTAGAAAACCAAAAGGGAAGAACACGCTTAGCATTTCTCAAGCTAAAAGAACTGAAGACAAAATTCAAGCCTCAAATTGCAATACTGAATGATTCTATGGGCAAAATATTGAACCACACAGGAAACATTAAAAGAAGATAGAGGTAATATACAGAGTCACTGTAACAAAAAGAATTGATCGATATTCAACAATTTCAAGAGGTAGTGTATGATCAAGAACCAATGGTATTGCTGGGGAAGCCAGCACAACTTGTACAAGGAAAGGTCATTGAAGCTCCATAGACGCATCCAAACTCCCTGAAAGACCAAATTGCTGGGCTGAGGGCTGTGGGGACATGGTCTCAGGGAACATCTAGCTCAATTGGCATAACATAGTTTATAAAGAAAATATTCTACATTCTACCTTGGTGCGTAGCGTCTGGGGTCTTAAAAGCCTGTGAGCAGTCATCTAAGATACTCCACTGGTCTCACTGCTTTGGGAGCAAGGAAGAGTGAAGAAAACAAGATATAAGGGAAAGATTACTCCAAAGGACTAATGGACCACAACTACCATGGCTTTCACCAGACTGAGTGCAGTACAACTAGATGGTGCCTGGCTACCACCACTGACTGCTCTGACAGGGATCACAACAGAGGGTCCCAGACAGAGCTGGAGAAAAATGTAGAACAAAATTCTAACTCACAAAAAAAGACTGGAATTACTGGCCTGACAGAGACTGGAGAAGCCCTGAGAGTATGGCCCCTGGACACCCTTTTAGCTCAGTAATGAAGTCACTCCCGAGGTTTGCCCTTCAGCCAAAGATTAGACAGGTCCATAAAACAAAACGAGACTAATGGGGCACAAAAGCCCAGGGACAAGGACTAGAAGGCAGAAGGGCACAGGAAAGCTGGTTATAGGGAACCCAAGGTCGAGAAGGGAGAGCGTTGATGAGTCGTG